AAAGAACCCTGTGTCCTGTCTACACACTATATTCATTGACTGCCAGTGCCACTGGCACTGCCGTGGAGAAGAGTTACAGGCCAATACACTGTTTGCACGCCACGCTGAAGAATTAAGGAAGCAATGGTATTTTGTTTTGTAGAATACAAAGTGCCATTTAAAAATATTTATCTGTGAAAAGACTGTCTGAACATAGGCACCTGCCAAACAGTGCAAGTCTTAGAACAAGAAACTTAAGCCTTTCATGTCAGATAAATTGCTACTGAAAAGCAAAGCAGACCTACCGTCACAACAAAATAAAATAGACTACTACTCTCTCTGGGGAAGAAACAAGTCACCCTGCCCATTCAGATTGGTTGGGGAATGGTCAAGGAGACATCCACACCCTTTCCCAAGCATTCTCCCCTCTTCTACAACTTGTCTTCTGCAATGGTGCATGGCCCAGTTCCTTCCTTGTCTTCCAAAAGACTCCCATATGGATGTGGTAAGACAAGAGTATTGCTTTAAATGATAATATTTAGACCTTATACACTAATGTCCATCTTTAGAACATTAATTCTTAAAGACTTCCTGTGACATAGTTGATATCATTATTCCCAAAATGGAGGCAGCAAAATTGATGCCAAGCACCCACAGCTCCCTGTGCTCAGCACCTCGCGGGGGGGGGGGAATCAAGGCACAAGTGACCTGGTCAAAGCAAGAGTCAGTGTTCAGTCTGGGATCAGAACTCAGGTGTTTCTGGCTCCCAGTCCTGAATTCAGACCAGACTTCTCCCCAAAGATGATTTTCTAGTGGAATACAAAAATGTTGTCTCAACTATTTAGGGCCTGATCCAAAGTCACTGAAGTCAACTGCAAGACTCCCAGTAAACTCAATGGGCTTTGGATCAGGCCTCAAGTGCACAAAGTAAGATGCTATATTGACATACAAATAATACTGTGGCCACCTGACAATTCTGACTCCTGGCTCCTATACTACAAGTGTCCAGACCTGAAAAATATTTCTGTTTTTGGATGGTCCCAAACCAGCCCAGGGTACTGAACCTGAATAGTAAATGCATACCAGAGTATGATAACCTTACAGATATGTTGTTAGGGAAAACCCTCTGCAACTAGAGCTGCATTGTTTGGTCTCATTTCTCCTCTTACCAGTGAGCTGCCTCAGCTGCTGTTTTTGGATCGCTGCAAACTGCTTGGCATCAGCTAAAGAGCTGAAGAGGGCTGCAAAAGGGTTACTGGAGATGCTGTTGTTATTTTCTTGGTCTGTCATTTCACTTTAAAGTGTGCTCCATCCAGACGTGGGGAGAGGGGCTGAAGAAAGAACAGGTACGACAATTACAATGCAGAAGTTAACAGCAGCAGCTACAATTCTTAGTTTAAAAATAAAACCAGAAGTGCCTTAGTGGGGAGGATTTTTTCAACTAGGAATCCAAGATTTAAGACAATTTAACTACAACATCCAAGAACCCCCTATTAAAAATAGCATGCTTGCTTTCACAGCTTTTAAAATTGAAGGAGTACACAAGCACTCTACCTTGATACATTTTTTAAATGTTTAAGGATATATTTTAACTCACTAACATTAAGCATTGAACTGAAACTGAAAAGAGCAAGGGAATTCAGTTGTACCTTACAAAATTCATTTCTTGTTAAGGTAACTTAGCACCTATTACAGTGAGTGATCTTACATGGAAACAGTCCTACAGTATTGCAGACAAAGGCCATGCCTACACTAGCATTAATTGGGAGACCACATCCATGGTGGGAACACTAATGGAGACAGGACACAGATGTTTTTACAGCAATGTTGTCTAGATCTGCTGTCACTGGTAAGAATGCTGGGATCTGGTCTATGCTAGCACTCCTACCATTTCAGCACTACAGGAGCTGTACCATGGAGAGAGATTCTGTAAAGAAAACTCAGGGCAGAAATACCCAAAGATGTCAGCTAATGGTGGAAAGGAAACCCAGTCCATTTGTTGATCCTTACTATTTCTTCTAAAAGTTATTTATTCTTCATCAGAGCATAAAAATAATCAGATGCAACACTCAGCAAACCACTCCACCTGTCCTTCCCTACAGAAATACAGGCAGTATAGAAAGCAACATAGCTTAATTTTAAGCCTAGAGTTTTGCTGGTTTACCATGGAATAACTTCCTAATCTGTAACACATGCAGCCAGATTTGGTTTTTAACGGAGGCAGTATTTCATTTATTAGGAACAGCCAAGGAACTAGCCTTGGCTGTTCCTATACTGGACTACAACATCCCTGTCAGACTGAAAGAGCAATTTATATTTATCCCCTTCTAGACATTTCAAGAGACCACGAATCGCAGCTTGTGGAATACTGCTGGGCACAAGTCAATCTAGTGCAAAGCCAAAGGACAAATTTACTCAGCCTGTTTACACAGCTGATACTTGCAGAAAAATTCAAGGACTCAAAGTCACAATAGCAGTAAGTACATTCCTTCTTTCCCCTCAATGGAGACAGAGTTCTGCATCAAATCACATTAATCAAGCTAGTGAAAAAAATTTAGCATTTAGGTTTATATGTATAAAAGTACTTGCTAATGTTTTATTTATTATATAGTGAAATGTCATTTAAATGACTGCTCTAACAGATATTCCCACACCCACTTTGTTGCTCTAAACATAGGTGGGCAAACTACAGCCCCTGAGTTCCCGGCCGGGGAGGCTAACCCCCAGCCCCTCCCCTGCTATCCCCCCTCCCCTGCAGCCTCACCTCGCCTTACCACCAGTACTCTGGCCCACCATTCCTGTGGGGCAGCGCGGCTGGCTCCAGCATGGTAAGAGGGCGGGGAGTGGGGGGTTGGATAAGGGGCAGTCGGGGACAGTTGGATGGGGCGGAGGTTCGGGGCAGGGGGAGTTGGATAGGGAGTGGGGTCCCGGGGGGGGGTGGGCGGTGTGGATAGGGATTGTGGCAGTCAGGGGACAGGGAGTGGGGTGGGGTTGGTTAGGGGGTGGGTCCTCAGGGGCGGTTAGGGTCAGGGGGTCCTGGGAGGGGGCAGTCAGGGGTCAAGGAGCAGGAAGGGGGGTGGTGGATGGGGGCAGGGGCCAGGCTGTCTGGGGAGGCACAGCCTTCCCTACCTGGCTCTCCATACAGTTGCACAATCCCAATGTGGCCCTTGGGCCAAAAAGTTTGCCCACCCCTGCTCTAACAGCTCTAATTCAAGCCAAAAAGTAGCTAATGTGCCACAACTTGCAGACAGAGCAAATGCAAGAAAACCCTAGAAGCACAATATTGTATAGAAGGGACTCCCAACATTCTTCTGGTGAAAACCCCCTTGAAAGAGATTGACATGCCCTCCCCATGTCTCCTCATGCCATGCATCACAGATAGCTGCATCTTCCTTCTGACCATTCTCTCTCTCCTGCCCATATCTACCTCAGTGCTCTCTGTCCTTTTCCTCTTTGCTTTCTAACTGTTGGGCTTTCTTGTTTTTGTTCTTATTCTGTAGCTCCCTCCTCCTTGTTTCCTCCAGGTTAGCATATCCATTGGTACTGGCTCCAGAGTGTTGGCGGACATATACTTCTGCTAAACTGCAGAGTGCCATAGGAGCACAGGAAGGAAACTTGAGTTAACCGTCTTTGAGAGCTGCTCCTGTGGTCAGCTTTGTTAGGCAAGGCAGAGCCACTGTACAGCAGGGACACAAAGCAGGTGAAATTCAAGGCTCTATCACTGCTTTACCCACATCCACAAAAACTCATTTGGTTTGGTGGGGGTCATGCAACTTTCTCCACCTGCAGTGTTCTTCTCCTCTTCCTCATGCTCTCCCCCCTCACACACACACACTTTTCCTCCCTCCGCATCACACACACAATTCAAAGAACCTGAGGATGGGAAACTTGTGCATGATAAACTGTTCCCATCATGCACCCAAAAAACATAACACCAGCACTTCCAGTCAGTATTTGCATGTGATGAGCAACTGATATCCTTTGTAAGGCCCTCTGAGATCTGATGAAAATCACCACATACGAGCTAAGCGTTAGTAGGTGTAGACTTTAGCTCCCCAAAACTTTCGCTCTAAGCAAGTGAGCTCATACGCACAATGAGCGATACAGCCAGTCTGTACTCTCCGTTTAGCCCTAAAATGAGCCAGGGCTCCCACTTGTAAGAGCAGCTACATAGGGTCAGACCAATGAGCCTCCGCGCCCAGGATCCCGTCTTCCAGCAGTGGGCAGTGCCAGAAGCCTCAGAGGAACCAGACCGTTACTAAGCGATCTAGCCCGTTGTCGAAGACTTAGGCTCGCTCAGACCACCGGGGCGCATCCCTGACTATCCTGGCTACGAGCCGACGAAGGACCTAGCCTCCATGAACTTACCCGCTTCTTCTTTAAACCCCGTTATGCTCCTGGCCTCGGGCAGCCCCTGGCCGGCAGCCCCACAAGCTCAGCCAGCGGCTCACAGGCGGGCAGGGCGGGAAGGGACCTCAGCAGGCTCGGGGCCGAGCCCCGCCGACTCGGCCCGTGGCTCCCTTGCGGGGCCGGAGAGGGGAGCTGGGGCGCCGCCGCCGCCCGGAAGGGGCCCGGGCCCGGGCCGGCAGCCCACCAGGCTCCCCGCGCCGCAGGCCGCTCCGCAGGCCCGGGGCGGCGCTTCCCTTGCGGGCCGGAGACGGGAGCTGAGCCCCGAGCGGCCGCGCCGCCGCGGGAGGGAACCGAGGCCCGGCCTGGCAGCCCCCGCGCCGGGAGCAGGGCGAGCAGGGGCTCCGCGGCGGGTCCCAGGCCGGCTCCAGCCCCCGCGGGCCGGCTGGCCCCCGCCCCGCCTCGCCCCGCCCCGCCGCCACGGGCCGCCCGCCACGGGCGCGGGGGCGGAGCAGCCGCTTCTTACCGGGGCCGGGCGCTTCCGCTTCTCACTCAGCCTCAGGCTGGCAACCGCCGACGTCACCGCGCCGCGCCGCGCGTCACCCCGCAGCGCCGGAAGCGCCTGGAGGCCGGGAGCACGTGGGTAGGCGCCACGTGTTGGGCGGGGCGGAGGGGCCAAGCGGTCGTTTCTCACCCCCTCCCGCCCCGTAGCGGGGGTGGCTCTCGCGCGCCCCGGCCCCGGCAGTGCGGGAAGGGGCCGGCGGAGCCGCGCGTGGCGCTCAGTCCCGGGCTGGCGGCACCTCCCCGGGAGGCGCCCTCACAGCACGCGCACAGCGACGGGGGCCATCAGCGGGCGCCAGAGCTGTCCCAGGCCGTTGCCACGCCAGGCCTGATGCAGTCCCGGGCCGGGCTTCTGGGCACGCCCGAGCAGAGCGGAGGTCAGGGAGGGGTTTTCCTCCGCGGAGCATCAGTGCACAATTCTCCAGGGCTTGGTCTACGCTTAATACCTGGGCTTAGCTACCAGAGTCGGGTGTGGAAAAACACCCGCCTGAGCGACACAGGCGTGCTGACAAAACCCTTCTGTCCACACAGCTGCATCAGGGGGAGAGTGCTCTGTGTCCGCATGGCACGGGTTGTTGGGGGAGGTGGTGTTCCGACAATGACAGAAACATTCCTGAAGAAGAGCTCTGTGAATCTCGAAAGCTTGTATCTCTCGCCAACAGAAGCTGGTCTAACAAAAAAACATTACCTCACCCACCTTGACTCTAGAAAAATTCCTGTGGGTGTAGGCTGCCTGCAGGAGGAGGCTAGGTTGGTATAGCTATGCTGTTGTAGGCTCCATAGTGTAGACATACCCTAGGACTTGGGCTACACTTAAACGTTTGGTTGAAATAGCTATACTGTTTAAGGATGTGGAAAAAACACTCCCTTGATTGACATAGCTTTGTCAACCTAAGGGAGATGCAGTTGTGTTGATGGAAGAGTGCTGTTGCTGTGCGGGGTGCTGCCTTCAGAGCTGGGCGCCCGGACAACTGCCGCTGCTCTCTGGCCACCCAGTTCTGAAGGTACGCACAAATGAGGGTGGCAATACCATGATGCCCCCCCCCCAAAATAACCTCCTACAACGCCCTTTGGGGTCAGGACCCCCAATTTGAGAAACGCTGGTCTCCCCTGTGAAAGCTGTATAGTATAGGGTAAAAGCACACAAAAGACCAGATTTCACGGTCTGTGATGCGTTTTTCATGGCCGTGAATTTGGTAGGGCCCTATTTATAGATCACTTTTCATCCAAAGGGCTTTGTGAACTCTGTATATCTGTCTGGCTATGGATCCCCTTATACACACCATTAGGCATCCTGAGTTGTAATTCGACAAGGACACCAGTTACTGTTACAGTGTGGCAAGGTATCGTTAATAATCTCAAGTGGTAAGGCCCTTATCACTTAGGGCTAGATTTTTAAAGGTATTCAGGCAGCCATTGGAAATCAGGTGCCTAGGCACTTTTGAAAATCCTACCAGGTCCCTAGCTGCATCTTTAGGTGCCTAAATACCTTTGAAAATCTGGTCCTTTAGTTTTTACATTTCATCCGAATTAAGAAACTCAGCCCATCATCTCCTAGTACTGTGGTGGATCAGTGGGTTCTCTATTAACTCAGGGACCACATACAGAGCTAATCAGAAATTGGATTTTCTGTAGTGCGTGGGTTTTCCTTTAACAGACTTGCTTCAAAGTACTGATCCCACCCAGATCATTTTTGCTCATCAAAGCTGAGATCACCCACACAAACTGATTAGGTTATTTTAATAATTGTGTAGCAGCTGAAAAGGAACAGAGGGAAAGTCCTGTACAATGTTTTCACAGAGTTCTCACTCTGGTTTAAAAATGATTCCCCACGAGGTGGAACTGTTTCAACACAAATCATTTCTAATAAAACACTGGCTTGGTTTGCAAATAAGTAGGTATTCTGCTCATTTGCAGGCACAGACATGACTGCCAGGAATCACAGGAGCACAGTGAGAAGAACCTGGACTTCAATATTGTGTGTTTCTACTGGGGTCCCGCAGGAATCGTTTCTTATCAGTGACCTGAGCGAAAACATAAAATCACCGATAAAGTTTGCAGGTGACACAACAATGGGGGAGTGGTAAATAATGAAGAGGACAGGTCACTGATACATGGTAATTGTGATCTCTTGGTAAGCTAGTCACAAACAATATTTTCTCTGTATTTGGCACTGGTGTTGTGGCCACTGGTGGAGTACTGTGTCCAGTTCAGGTGTCAACAATTCAAGAAGGATGTTGATAAATTGGAGAGCGTTCAGAAACAAACCACGGGAATGATGAAAAGATTAGAAAATATACCTTATATTAATGGATAGAGCTCAGTTTATTCATTTTAACAAAGAGAAGGTTAAGGGGTGACTTGCTCACAGACTGGAAGTACCTACATGGGGAACAAATATTTATAATGGGCTGTTCGATCTAGGAGACAAAATTATAACAAGATCCAGCAGTTGGAAGTTGAAGCCAGACAAATTCAGACTGGAAATAACATGTAAATTTTTAATAGTAAAGGTAATTAACCATTAGAGCAACTTACCAAGGATCGTGGTGGATTCTCCATCACTGGCCATTTTAAAATCGAGACTGGATATTTTTCTGAAAGATATTCTAGTTCAAACAGTCATTATTTTGTGGGAAGTTCTCTGGCCTGTTACACATGAGGTCAGAGTAGATGATCACAGTGATCCCATTTGGGCTATGAATCTATGGATATTGCTGCAAAGGGCTTTCTTGGGAATCATTGCTGAACACAAAAGTGGGCAACAATAATATTAAAGCAAACACATTTGGTGGGAAATGGCTGCACTAATCCTAAAGTCAAAGAACTAAGTTAATTGTGCTTAGATACCACCAGAATATTGTATGAGCTAGCTAGTGTGCATATGCACTATTCTCATGTGCTGGATAGAGTAGGAACTGCTTCATGTGTCACAGCTTATACCTCTGCTTATACCTCTAACAGCAGTTCTCCTTGAGCTCCCTTCTAGCCTATGCTTCTGGAGCAGCAGGACCTGAACTCTATCCCTGCTGCAGCTGAGAAAGTTGGAGTGGCAGGGCTGGGTGTTAACCCTGAAGTCCGAGGTGGCCACAGATATTTTTACAGTACGCTTGTGTAATTCAGCTCATCCTATACCTGAGAAAATGCCCATTGGGTGTGATTGGACCTAAAGAAGGTAGCTGCACTATGGCTACTTTGTGGAGATGCCCAAGTTAGGCGCAATTTTCCTTCTTTGTTTTTAGTGGGAGAATCTTTTATTTGCAACTGAATACTGTGCCCTGATCTGCGTTGGTAGCAACTTTGGTGACCGCGAAACAACTTCGGTAACAACCCTGACGTCTTTAAGCTGACGTTCTTAGGGGAAAGAAGACAGAGGCTTCCACCCCTAGGCTTCCTGTTGCCAACATCTGAGAAGGCTCTTGATACTGGTTTCACATCTCTCTGCCGTTTAGAAAAGAGACCTTTGATTGAATTAGATTTTTAAACCGGGTGAAGTAATTTTTCCTAAACTAGTGAGGAAATAACCGCAGTTGCATTTTAGTGTTAAGGAGAAGGACCATGGGGAGACATGGGTATCTGGTCAGTGTAATAATGGTCGGATTTATCATCAAAGGTAAGATCTTCAATCCTGCATTATTAATAATTAATTACTATTTTACTACCATAATGCCCCAAATGTGTTCAGTGTTGTAAAGACATTGTAAGAAGACAGTCCCTGCCGTGAAGAGCTAACAATCTGTAAGACTGAACACAGACAAATAAATGGAGGGGGAAGGTGTACAGCCAGATAGATGGATAGGCAAGCAAAGCTGTGAGAGTTAGGGCTGGCACACAACTTGTTAGCTCCTTTTTAAGAAATACATTCTTATCTGTATTATATAGATTTGGTTTTGGAGGTTGTTTTTTGGCTGGGAGATGGACTCAATAAGACCTAATGGGCCTTTTCCATCTCTGCTGTTTGTGCTTTCCGTGAACATTAAGCTCACTCACAAAGTTTAAGGGGGGGAAAGACCATGTGGTGATATAGTTTGGCAAGTAACTAAAAGATGATCATTTTAAATACTCTGTGAGACAAACTCAAATATTGTGACCAAGAATAATTGTTTGTAGCAGCCTTGTACCATACTGAGTTGTATCATTTTAGGCAAATAAGCCATACAATGTTTTAATCTCTTTTAATATTATATAGTGTGTAAAGTTTGTGGAGTTCACTGGAAAGTGAATACATATAACAAAGGGAAGCAATCCCTTTTTCCCCAAGTGTTTTTTTGCCTAATGCAGCCTCACTTCTCTTCAGATGTAGTCAGTAGGTTTGTGATGTGTTTTGTTGGTGTTAGTGGAACTTTGGGCCACATTGTGCCCTAAGTTACACACTATTTCAATCAGAGGAATTGCACAGAGTATGCGTTGGGTATGTTTTGCCCCTTTGTGTTATCCGTTCTTGTTCATGGCTCTAAACGTGGGACGTGATTGCTGAACACATCCCAAATGATGGTGAAATTTTAACATTTAGCACCTCTGCTGAGTGCAGGTAAAGATTAAAGGTTATTTTAAATTAATTAGATTAGATTAATATTTGTATCTTTGATTTGTGCAAAATGTGTTTATATGTTTGAGTTTGAAGAGACATCTGCATTTTATTTCATCGGACTTATAGAATACATATGTTTGACAGGCTCTAAGTGCACATACAAAGGTTAAAAACAAATAGTTCCTTATTGCCATGTAAATAGATTTCCCCTACTCCAAAAAACCTTGGCATGCTCCCTTCAGTCAATCCAGCCCTGGAAAAAAGTTTGAGTGGATTGCTGAGCCGTAAGCCACAACGATGAAGGAGTTGGTCTCCAATGCGCCGATTGGGTAGCGAGTTCTAGAATCACTAAAGCCTACATTTTAAAACATGGCCAATGCATTTGGGTGACTCAATTTTTGGGTGCCCAGTTTCAGCCAACCTGGGCCTGATTTAGTATCCACAGCTCTCATTAATTTCAGTTGGAAGTGTGGGTACTCAGCGCTGCTAAAAATCAGGCCTCGGAGAGCTCAAACCAGACACTGAAAATCAGTGGCCACTTTTGAAGATGTTGGTCTTTATAACTAAATGGTATCAGGAACATAGGAATTGCCAGGCCTGGTCTGAGCAGGGGCCCAGATAGCCCTGTATCCTCTCGCTGAGACTGGCCGGTTTCTTCCTATGTCCTGTCGTTATTTCCTGAAGCAGGAAGGTTTGTGACACTTCTAAATTACATTTTTTCTTTTTCCCCTCAGGTGTGGTCACAGAAGAGACTTCAGGTAAAGGTAAAAAAACCTACAGAACTCATTTAAAGCCCTTTTTGATCAGGGTTGGATGGAGGAAACATTTTGTTCTTGAAAGTCACAGAGGGTGGCTATTTCACAGATAACCGTGGCATCCAGGACTCTGCATCCCATGTTTGTATTAGAGCTCATTGGGGAGGGAGGGGGACTTGGAGGGGGCACAGGTGGTCATTATTTATGCCCTGCTTGCTCTGGGGATAAACACAAGGCTTCAGTCTCTAGGGCGGTCAGTGTCATACCTTTCACCTGTGCAGCATGCTCACTTCTGTAGTAATCATTCTGAATAGCAGGGCATCGATTCATGTCCCAAGGAAAGAAAGCACATTACAAGAGACATATATAATAAGGTAAGCCCATGATGGTGACTTACTAGCTTGTATAGTGCCTGTTACAAGCCCAGTCTGCCTTACAGTAGGACAGACTGCACCCTGATTCACATTAGGCCCTATCCTGCCCCCACTGCAGTTGATGGCATCACTCCTATTGATGTCGCTGGAAGCAGGATTGGGCCCACGACTCTCAGAACTGCCTTCCTGAGCGTGGGTGCGGAGCAATACTAGGCAGCAGCTTAGAGCAGGAAAAGCGAATAACGGAAAAGAGCCAGTTCCTCACTCATGGGATATGAGGCCTCAGAATCCAGTCCAGCATGTGAATTGTCACCATAAGGGCTGATGGACAAATTGCTCTCAGTCCTGTCCAGTGGGGAAACCAAGAACTGACAATTGTCCAAACTGGTCCAACAACGAATGTAAAGGTCTCGCTTCTGATCCCTGATCACCCCAGTGCGGATCAGTAACAGCCCCACTGAAGTCAGCAAAGTTACTCCAGGGCAAAACTGATGCAAGTGAAGTCCGAATCAGGCCCAACATTGTGGTAATCAGTGCAATTAATGGGGAAAAGCACAAGCCTACAGAATGAAGCTGTTTGGGCCAGTTCTGCCCCTGTTGCCACGTGAAAGACTCATGAAGAGGAGAAACAGACTATTAAGGCCCCGACCCTGCAGTGAGTGCACTACGTTCACACAGGACCTCATTGACTTAAAACACTGCAAACTCAAAAACAGAGAAAGAAAACATCTTTTTATCTTCTCCAGCTGCAGTCATCTGACGTGAATAAAGCTCCACAGAGAAGTGAGATTTTTGAGTTGGGAGCTGTCTCTTTAACTGAATGTCTAGTTTGCAGTTACCTTTTGATATTGCTTTGTTAGTAGCAATGTATTTAATTATTATTCAATATTTGTTTGTGTAGTTCCTCAAAGCCTCTTTCTGAGCTCTTTTAAAAATGAAATTATGATTATTGTTTTTAAGCATGGCACAGAAAAGGGAGTGAACAAAGTCCCCGCTCCAGGCAGTTTAATATCCATTAAGCTATTGATTAATAATTATTTTAGCAATAAAATGTATTTATCTCATAATAATTTAGAATATAATTGCAATCTGAATATAAGCGATTAATAATACATATATAAATATAGGGACAGACCTCAAGCCAGCCTATCTTTGTGCAGTCAAAGATTTTGAACCTCCAAATAATTATGGCTGCGTTTTTGAACTGGTGACAATTGAGTGTGCAAGTAGCGGACACAGAACTACCTGATTTACAAACACAAACAAGCACAGGAATTAGACTCCTAGACTGGAGGTGACTGAAAAATGGTGTGTGTGCGCGTGTGTGTGTGTTGGAGGGGGTGTAATCCAAATTCTCAGCTGTTTCTGTGTTGCCGCGGCCCTTGCAGTGTGCGCTGCACTGCTCTCATTGTCAGTGCTTAAACAACAACAATCCTAGTAACTTTATTTTGTGTTCTGAAGGCTGGGGAGTAATCCCCATGGGCTCGACCCTGCCCCCACAGAAGACACATTTTGTGAATCTTACACTGTTTTCATTGTAATCAGTTTTCAGTTAAAGAGCTGACCACAGAACTATCTTTTGCGAACCGGTTTGGCTGATCTCTGCACCATTTTTACTTTAAAAACTTGTTAAAAAATTCCGGCTGCCATCACTAATTATTAATAGCCCGGAATCTGCAAACCCTTTCACTTACCATTCAGCCTTTGTTTAAGGGTGTGCAGGATCAGGGCCTCACATCCACACCCAGAATTTACTGCAGGTCAAAGGATGCTGGGCCAAATTATTTTGTGCCTGAGTGAAAATCTCCCTGATAAAATGTCAGTTGCAATATTATATTAATATAATAAGTACTGCATAACGATATTAGATGCTGCTAATTAAGGACCTGATCCTACAAACACTTCTTATGGATGTACAGCTTACTCCGACCATCACTAGTTCCATAGGGGCGAGTAGGACTACTCCCAACAGTAGGCACTGTCCCAGGAGTTGTGTTGGCAGAATCGGGCCCAGAGTTGTTATTTATTGCGAATAATTGACACAATATAACAACATGATTGATTTATTAATATAATCAATGGTTTTATATATCTATATAGCTATAAACTGAATTGTATACCTAAATTATAACTGACAGTTATAGCTGTCACTGCATTATCAGGGATATTTTCTCAGTTTGAACACCTTTATTCAGGGGTTTCTATGAGACGCCATCTCTGTCTCACTGGGAAATGGAGACCTCCGTTCTGAACCTCGGTTACCGATGACAACTCAGCCCCTAGGCTGCTTTGTACCTATCACTTCCCAGCCTTCGTTTTTGTTTTACAGCAAAAATAAAGGTGGAAAGGCGTGGCCGTGACGCGGTCCTGAAGTGTGAGATGGCTTCAGACACGAAATCCAATATAACCTGGTTGAAAGATGGAACTCAAATAGAGAGAATGGGAGAAGAGTTGAATTTGGGCGCGGAAGCGAATGACCCGAGAGGAGTTTATAGATGTGATAATTCCGAACCTCTACAAGTGTATTTCCGAAGTACGTTCACCAGTCTAAAAAACTAGAGCTGGCTGGAATTTTTAATTCCAAACTTTTTTTTTTTTTTTTGGATGAAGAATGGCCTTGTTCTGGAAACTAAAGTTTTCAAAATTTTCTGTGAAACACACCTGCCATGTCTCCATTAGCTCTCTGTAAAGCTGCAGCAGTGGCAGATGTGTGTGTTTCTCTGTCCCCAAATTTCCCCCCAGGCTGTGTGTCTTGGAAGGAACCATCCTGCATTGGCCCAGTAGGGGAGGGAGGAGACTGGATGATCTGCTTGGGCTCTTCCACCTCTGAACTCTAACTTTCAGTGCTCAGCCAGAAATCTCAGCACTTCTCAGACTGGGCCTTGTGGTGGCCTGGGGCCCCAGTGTTCAAAACTGGCCTCTGGGCAGCAGGCACTAAGATGTGCACTTGTGCCTGGGCAGGTGCCTGTTTGCATGGGTGGTTCCTGGATCGCCATGCAGACGTGCACGATTGCTGAGCTGATTCACTCCACACCCATTCTGCAGCTCATTCTGGACCGGCCCTGTGGCTCAGGTGGAGCTAGTGCTCTGCCTGACACACCAGAGACCCTGCTCCCTTCCCTATCCCAACCTTGCTCTCCCGCTGCTGGCTGCGAGCCCTGCCTTGGTCAGAGAATGGGAGTTGCTGAGCAGTGACTGTTCTGTTTGGTCAGCATTGTGCTGGTAGGCTCCCTCGGAGGTCCTGTCCAGTCACCTTTGGCTGAGTGGGGCTTAGAGGTGGGAGAGCAGAGGAATGTGTGTGTGTTAGGGGGGTTCTCTTTCTAACTGGGCAGCAGAGAGGCCTTGTAGGGGGAACAGAGAAATCCTCCGGGGCTCTCCTGCTGGCTTGCTCCCTGTGCTGCTGTGCAGGTGGCGGGTGGGTGTGGGGCATGGAGAGTTGTGCCCGGTTCTCAGTACTCTGTGTTGTGTCTGTGGCTTTGCAGTGTGCCAGAATTGCATCGAGTTGGATGCAGCCACCATCTCAGGGATCGTGGTAGCTGATATCATCGCCACGGTCTTCCTGGCAATCGCCGTGTACTGCATCACCGGCCAAGACAGTGGCCGTCCCTTACGAGGTGAGATGGGGGGGTCCCTCTGTCCAGCTCGGGGGAGGGGTGTTTCTGCTGCCCAGCGCAGGAACAGGGAGTGTCTGGTCATCTCCACTAACACCGGGGTGAAGGATGGCTGGTCGGACAGGACTCGCTGTGCAGTATCCCTGGGGTCTTTCCATCACACTCACGCACATGATGCTGGCTTGGTGCCTGGAGCTCCTACATGACACCGACATGCATGACTCAAGGACTGCATGTCAGCCTGTGGGGAGGGAGTGTGAGGGTGTCTGCGTGTGTAATTGTGTGTCTGCATGTTGCTATGGGAGACTGTCATCTGCGTGTGTGCGTATCTGCCTGAGCCAGGGGGTAGCAGCAGGAGACACTGTATTTTGCAGGTTTCAGAGTACTTTACAAACTGTGTAGTCAGCATGTGGGAATGCAGCCATACCTGGCATGGAGGGCAGCAGCCAACACAGAGCACAGTTGGGGAGAGGTGAAATTTTGGGCAGACACATTAGGGTAAACCTCAAGGGAATGCCTACATTTGGCTTTTGTGCAATAGTTTCCCACCTTTGCTACTGCTAGCTTACCTCTCCCAACAGACGGGACAGTGGGAGTCCTAGTGTAGATAGGGCTCCTGTAGCTCTCAGCATTGTAAGCACCATGTTATTGACCCAGTGACACCAGTAGATGTTGGCTTCTTCTTGACAACAGCGCCGCACTGGCGGAGCTGAACTAGTGGGAGCAATAAGTGAAATTTTAGCAGAACAGGCGTAGTGTGAACAAAACTCTATGCTTAGCAAAAGCAACGTGTTCCCAGCTGTCCATGGAGAGCAGAGAGGGGTCCTGGGCCCGCTGCCCTGCACCTGGTGTCACTGTTACCATCCATGCACAGGAAGTGTGGAATGGGTGTGAAATGCCCGTGAGTCAGACTGGTGGCGTTGGACCCCGTGTTGTGCAGGTGTAAGTGGTGGGTACAAGATGCAGAGTGGGGGAGAGAAAATCACCACTTGGGGTCATTTGAAAATGCTGCCCTCCCCTTGAGCTTCCCACTGACCTTTGCTTGATTTATTTTAGCTTCTGACCGACAGAACCTGATCGCCAATGAGCAGCTCTACCAGGTGAGCGATGAGTGGTTGCTGGGCCAGCCTTTCACGTCACTTAGTGCTCGGAAATCCGGACTGGTGTATGGAGGGATCGCTTAGGGCCTGGAGAGGCCCCGGGCCTTGCTTGTGATTTAGATTTCTACAGAGCAGGTGTAGAATGCTCCCACCAGGGTGAATGGAAGTGAGGGGGGGTCTGACTTGGTCGTGATGCACCCCCTCTTTGCCAGGTGTAAGTGATCATCCTGGAGCAGCTGGCCCCAGTGCACACACTGCAGCTGGGACGCCCTTTGGCTGTGCCCCTTCCCACTTCCTGCCCTGCGGCTGGAACAGGGCGCCGGAGGCGTTGGAACAGTTTTACAGTGCGGGTGCTGAGAGCAATTGAATCAAACTGTGAACCCTGTGTGTGAGGGAAACCCCATCACGCCGCGGGTGCTGCTGCACCCCTAGTTCCAGCACCCCTGCAGAGTGCTGGCTGCTTAAGCTCAGGGAGTGCCTAGCTGGCTGCTTAAGCCAATTGTACCACCCCTTTGCCCTTGCACAGTGACAACCTCCTGAGGGTTGAGCCCCAGGTGCCCCTCCCTGCCTCTCATACTTTCAGGCTGAGATTAAATACCTGCCTTCTCACTGAAGCAGGCTGATCTGTGCAGAGCGCCTGCAGTAGTGGGGGCAGGAAGGGCTAAAGCAGCAGTACGCTCCCAAGTCCCTGTCTAGGAGATCACAGACACATCCAGGCACAGGCTCCCCCCAGACATATGTTAGGCACAGATACCCAGATGTGCACAGGCTGATTCATTTGTTTGTATCATTTTTTTTGCTCCCCCACCACCTGAAACTGGTGCCAGCTACTTTGCCCCAGCATTGCAGGAGAGGGCAGGGAAAGGCCAGCAACAGTAAGATGAACTAGCATATGGAGAAGTGAGCTGACCAGGTACTGGTGGGAAATCAGCACTGGCTGGCCTCCTCCTCCCAGCTGGTTCTGAGATAAGTAACTCTGCTCACTGGGAACTCAGGGACTGGGCTGTGATATGTGGGTGCAGGCAACATCTCCTCTGTTCTGAGGCTGCCTGTTTCCTACTGAAGCTTTGAATGCAGAGGATATGGGAGGTGCTGTCTGTGCCCATTTATCCTATCAGAATCCCAAGCTCCCAACTCGTGGGGTCAAATACCATGGTGGTGGGCGCAGTGTAAGACTCTGAATAGCAGAGAAACACTTTAAAAAGCAGCCTTACCTTCTCCTTTCCTCCTAGCCCCTTGGTGAGCGGGACAATGAGCAGTACAGCCGACTAGGAGTTACCAGGACTCGCAAATGAGAAGGGAGAGCACCTGGGGGCTCATCAACAGTGACCCGTGGCCCTTTATCCTGTCTCTTTTCCACATGGGAGCCAACAATATTGGGGAATCCTGCTGCCTTCGATGCGGCCGACAAAGCCTTCACTCTGCAGCTCGGTGGCCAGAAACCATGGTGATGGGTGTCTCACTAATGTGTCTAAGAAATAGATGATCTCTGCTCGCAGGTGATCCTGGGCCTTGCTTGTCTGAAATCCCTCTGGCTCCCTGCAGTGCAGAGGGGGCTCGTAGAGCTCTCTGCTTTTTGTGATGCTTTTGCTTTGGCAATAAAGAGGCTTTGCCCGGGCTGGTGAGAGGAGCAGAATCCTACCTAGCTGTCCTCATTCCAAGTTTGCCATTGCAGGCAGGCCTGCAGCTGATGGAGTGTCCTGTCTGACAGGACCCCATCTGAACAGTAATGGGCCCTTTCCGAGTGCAACAAGCCGAACTGGTGGGGGGCTTCTGCCTGGGTGTGGAGACTGGCTGTGCTGGGCTAGCGGTTGGTGGTTGTTAACATTGTGTGGGAGAAAAACACTGAGGCTGGGGAGCGGGGGCAGGGGAGAGACACCAAGCAACTATAAACTGTCTGCGAGTGCCTGTGGCAGGAAGGGGGGGTGTTGTGGCTCATCGAAGGCTGGGAGCCAGGGCCCAGGTTCCCATTCCTAGTGCTGGGAGACCATGGACAAGTCACTTACCCTTCGTTTCTGCGCCTCAATCCACCCCCTGTACCTGGGGGCTGAGGATATTGGCCCACCTTGCGGGGGTTTCATCTTTATAAATCCTTGGGGAGGAGGGGAGGGGAGAATCGCTCTGAGTGGGGAGAATATCGTCACCCCCCTGGCACGAACTGCACCGCAGCAGCTTGATCCACACTGCTCCCCTAATGGTGCACCTAGACCTGCTTGTGCCCTGGCACAGTTCTTGAGAGTGTCAGTAACACCGGGCCCTCCTGCAGCGTCTTCCATCAGAGGGCTGCAAACTGCAGGACAGCCCCTCCGCCCCCTGTGATCTGGCTGGGGCTGGGGGGAGTTGTTTGTACCAAAATAAGTTTGGTTTTACATGTGCAAGTTTCCACTTCCGACTGAAGCCGTCAAGGCCCCGACGGCCAGTGCCTTCCCCCAGCACACACCCAGGCTGCGAGCTGGCCTGATCGCTTGGTGGCAAACCATCAGCATTAAACCTGGGGGTGCTCTGAGCTGGGTGTGCTGCTGCTGGAGAAGGGGCTGAATTGGCTGGGGTTTCTCTGGTCACAGGCTCCCCCCAAGATCAGATATAGGTGTGCTGTGGCCGAGGAGGAAATGGAAACAGCAAGAGCTCGGAGCAAAACAAGCTGCAGAGGAGCTGCTCACGCACGACGGGGGCAGGGCAGAGCACTCTCTGTCAACAGGCAGGGATGATGGTGCAAAGCGAGCCAAGTCTGCTCAGCCCCCCTCCACCTTAGGGGGCTCTGGGGATGCCGCTGGTCAGCCTGCTCCTCCCATTGCCCACAGAGGGTAACTTCTAGCCCTTTTGTTTCTGTGGCTAGAGGGGACACTGCTAAAGAGACAAGCCACAAAGCAGACTAAAGGTCTTAGGGCATGGTGTTGCCCCACTCCAACCCTGCCTCTCAGGATGATTACAATTGGTGGCCCAGTTGTCAGTCTGGGATGGGGGATTTCTTCCGAGCTGGGGCCCAGCTCTGCCCTCTGTGACCCTAAATAATAGTGCAGTGTTTCAGGTGGGCAAGGGATGGAAGCCCCATTCTACGGATGGGGAAACTGAGGGGTAGAGAGGGGCAGGGTCTTCACCAAGGCCAGGTGGTGTGTCAGAGCAGAAGCCAGGTGTTTGTCTTCCCTGTGTCAGTCACAGGGAAATCCCTGCCCAGCATCTGCCCAGGGCCCTGTCTAGTTGAGCAGAGGCCTGTTTCCTGCACTCTGGCCCGACGTTCTTTGTGGGCTGTGGTGAAGGGGCGGAATTGGCTGGGGTTTCTCTGGTCAGCGAGGGGAGGCGAATGATGGGCTGGTCAGGGTCCTCGGAGCAGGAGACAAGCAGGGTTGGCCTCAGGCCAGTCCAAGTGTCCTGTGTGTACATTGTTAGATCCACCCCCCGGCTGGTTTGTATCCTCACCCAGCACCCTCTGGGGACCCAGCTGTAGGTGGCAGTTAGGTTCCTGAGCAGCATGCCCCCGTAAGAGCTCTCCTGCCAGGTTGGAGCCAGTCGGAGTCCTGGGGATTTCTCTAGGATCCCAGGAGCAGTTGTTTAACCCCTTGGTTGCTTGTTCTTGGGGAAAGTTCTTTGCTCTTGTGATACATGATTACAGCTGCCTGGCCAAGCGTCGAGAGCCTGAGGCTAGAGAACAAGAGGGACCGAGTGATGGAGCAAAAAGCAGCTGAGTCCCAGCACCTGCACTGCCTCGATGTCTGTAAGTGTTGGCCTTTGGAAAGCAGCCTGGAACATACAGGCCTCACGTTAGCAGGGCCTCTTTAGCCATCAGGGCACACGGTTCCTGTCCCACATGCCACACCTACAGTGTGGAAAGGACATGTGCAGGGGAGGGAATCATGCTGCCTGGTCGGGGAAACACTACGGGATCGTAAGTGCCTTTCTCCTCCTTCCCAAAAGCACCCAATGGGGTGTGAAGCAGGGATAGACAGATTCCTTGGCCCTCCTAGGAAAGTCTGGGAGGCCTGTCTCTCAGGATCTGACTGCAGGGCTCCTTAATGTCACAGAGGTTAGTTTTCTGATTGCCCGTAGAACACAGTGTCTGGATTGACAAACATGCCTCCGCCATGTGATGCATTGGATGTAACCTATGAAGCCTTTTCCATCTCCTATTGGCTACAGCTACTGGAACACAGCTGCTCAGCAACAGCTTTGACTGCTCCAGTGCTTCGCGGTCCTCTCCATCCAAAGGTCCCCACTCCTCCCTGCCCTTGAATAGAACCGTCTGTTTACAGGTTATTACAGTTCTCACTGTTGGGCGGAATGGGAGGCAAGTAACAGATGGGAACAGCAAGCAGTTAAAAACCTCAGAAACCAGGTCACCCTCCCTGTGCGGGTCGCAGACACCTGTGGGTCGTGATCTCCTGGCTTTCTAAGCATTTGGGTGACACATTTTAGTGAGCACCAGAGAGCTGCCAGCTGTGTTAACATGGAGGAAATGCCCCTGTATTAATTCAGCTGTTCTAGGGTCATGTAATTACCTGGCACCACATAGTGATAGGTGGGTAATTATATGGAGACACTAGAGCTAGTGTAGGAGACAAACATGAGACCAAAATGCCAGGAGTGAAGTGCTATTACTGTGGGGTAAGTAGATGTAATTTACTAATAAGTGGCAGGATTCAAATGTTATTGGTCCCTAAGTTGGGGGGCCACATTCAGCCACCCCGCTTGTGCCAGAGAAGCAGCAACCATGGGCCAGGCAAAATCACAGCTTTTGAGACCATCCTTTGCTTTGGGAAGAGACTTTGGTCACCCATTGCAGACCTGCTCTGTGTCTGTAACTCCATCCAGGAGTGAGCCTGCTACTGCAGGGCATAGAGAAACTGTGCAAATCTGAAAGGGTCAGTTCCCTTATTCGCCTCTTTCCTTTATGTGGCGCTGGGGTTTTCTCTGTGCAATTCTGGCCTAAGGAGGCATGATGCTGACAGTGTTTGTAGGTACAACTGCAGCCAAGCGAGAAGACGGAGACGGGTCAGTTTGTAGGCTGCTGTGTAGAGACACTGCAGTGAGATGACAAGTGGGGAAGATGATGGTTACTCATGCCGGCAGCCCTGTGGAAGGCAGTTTGATCACAAGGGTGTGGCTGGGAGCAGGATCTGACCCACTGCACATCCAGAGCAGCTGTTCCTGTCTGGGCTGTGAAATGAATCACATCCCTGTTCTGACCCCAGCCATGGCAATGCAGCTGCACCAGGGGGCCGCGGTCAATAACTTCACCACTGTCTTGACTTCAGTAGAGTGACATCCATTTACACCAGTGGCGAACCTGGCCCGGGGGGTTTTCAGGACTGTGGGGTGGGGGTGGGGGTTCTGTTTGGCTCTTGCTTGCAAACTCTCTCCTCTCGACATGTAGGGCTTGCAATGTAAACCCAACTGTGCCTGCCTCTGTAACCACATCCTCCAGGCCAAGCACACTGATTCGAGGCTCGAAGCTGGCTGGGTGCTCACTCCTCGCTGTGCTGAGACACCAGGGCTAAACCACAGCCTACCCCAGTTACTGCTGCTTCCTCTCCGGAGCGATGTCTCCCCTCTGAGCAATAGAAAACTGACTCTGCTCAGCCCTGGGCTAAGCCAGACACTGATGTCTGTTCCCAGCCACCCATGTGGCTCTCGGGAAAAGGACACAAGTCTGAATCCCACTCCCCACATCTGTCCTGCCACCTTCATGAAACTGGATCATTTTAACTCAACTGGCTTTTGAAAATTGTTTGTTAAATTGAGTGTAAGTGACCACAACCTTGTTTATGTTGCCCCAGGCCTGACCTGCAGCCCCCAGCTATTCCAGCCCTACTCCCAGCTCTGCTGATGACATCCCTCCTCTAGCCTGGCTATTGCACTCCCCTGTTTGCTGTCTACCCCTCACCGCACTGCCTAGCCCTGGGTGCCTTTGTACACTGCTGCCAGTGCACCTCAGGGGTGACCCCAGCAGCTTTTGCAGTCCCGGGTCTTTCCTGCGCAGAGGCCTCTGAGCAACAGTTGTGTTGTTAAAGAATGAATTGGAAACACCCTTCCATGCAGATCCAGGGGCAGAGCTCTGCCAGTTTATTGACTGCATAATGCACTTTTAGAAATACTTGCATCATAAATGTTCAAACAGGCCTTTCTCAATACAGACAAACTCGCCATCTTGGTAACAGACACCATTGAGCCAGGACGCAGCCTGAGAGCCAGAGCTGTAACAGAAGAGGGAGGAGGCAGCAAGGAAGGGGGTTGGAGCAAGGTGAGCCAGAGGAGACTCACTCAGAACACGGGGTTTGTACAGCCCTGCCGGGAAAGTCCTCACACAGTTACTAGAAAATGCTCCTATTTCTAGATGTGGTTTTGGCCCACGCTATAGAACTGAAACAGGAATGGGGGTCCCTGCTATAGAATTCCACAGGCTGAGTAAAAATAAAAACCTATGGAAAGGGTCTCATTCTGTCTGGAGTTCTCTATGGTTTGGGCTAATTTCTACACAGCCCTATGGGTTTTGCTGCTCTTAAATTCTATAGGACTTCTCCAGAGGGAAAACGTCCTGTGGTTAAGGTACTGGGGGTCAGGAGCCCTGAGGTCAGTTCCCCTGGAACTGGAAAACGGTGCCAGTCCTCTCTCATGCGTCTCGTCCCCCTGAGACAGTGATGTCTCTGGGGAGGGACAACGCTCCTCGGCAGAACCCAGCCCGGTGGGGCCCAGATCTTGACTGGGGCTTCCAAGTGCTACTGTAATTTACTAATAAGGGTTAAAGACTCAATCAGCCACTTAAGCACCCTACTGAGGGGCCTACAGATGACCTGCTTTGTGACAACGTTTAGAGGAGGCTGGGGGGAGAAGGGGCATGTGCTGAAGGGTCCACACGCCTTCTATTTAGGCCCCATACATGGCACCTTCCTGAGAGAACCACCAGGTCCTCCAGCAAAACCAGGCGGTGCCAGGTGTCCACTGCTGATGATTAAATCCCCTCCTTCCAGGCCGACTTTATCCATCCCAGAGATGCCAGAAAGGGCTCAAGCCCTGTTTCCCCCTACGCAGGTCTCCGGAAAGGGGTGTTGGGGCTGTCTGTGACCCCACAGCAAGGACAGACATGCTGAGCATGACTGGAAAGGGCAGCCAGAGCTGTGTTTTCAATGAACTGCTCTGTCGCTGCTGAGACAGGCCCAGGTGAGCATGACTGACAGACTGCACCTGGCCCAAGGATCGCAGCACAGGGACTTGCATCCCGAATGCTAGCGGTGGCCAGAAGAACACTGCAAAGCACAAGCTAGATGGGGACAGGGCTGAAGGAGGAATATGGTGGATGTGCTCACGGCCACTTCTACGCCTTATGGCCCATAGTGACCATTGCATCTCCCTTTCGAGCCCCAGGGAATGTGGTGACAGCATCGTTACTATCCTGGGAAGGGAAATGGGAACTAATGTAAAACCAGAGGACCAGGAGAGAGCCAGCCAAGCCCCAGTACTCCGAGAGGGTCTACATGCACTACTTAACGCATCTCTGGGAAGCGGGTGAGTCTCTGCCCAAGTGATACAGATGGGGAAGCTGAGGGGGAGGGACTTAGCCACAATCACAGAGAGACTCAGTGTCAGAGCTGGGGTCAGAGCTCAGGTGTTCCTGGCTCCTGGGCTGGTGCTCAGAACACTGGACCGTGTCCCTCTTTGCCCTGGGCAGGAAAGAGGCCATCCGAGTGTCAGGACGAGATCAATGGCGCAGGGTGCTGGAGAGAAAAATCAAAGCATGTGACTGAAATAAATAAAACTGAAGAGTGAAAGGGTTTCCCCAGCAGTTTGGAAAGGGTGATCAGGAGAGCCCAGCAGTCCCAGGAGAAGCCCAAAGAGGAGAAAGCGACGGTTATTTAATGGGGAAAACCTCTTCTTCTTGTTTCTTTAGTCAGCGTCTGTTCCCTGGGGTCAAATCGAAGGCAGAAAGGAGGGTGTCCAAGGAGCGGCAGCGTCTCCCATTGTAGCTGCTGGGCTGGTCCCCAGAATGCACGGCTGCCCAGCACGGACTGCAGAGAATCTGTATCACATGGGACAGAAGCTGGGGGCCCCTTAGCTGCTCTTGTCCAACCTGCCATCTGCAGGGCAATTCAGAAGCCCCTGGACTGCAGCCCGGCATACACTTCCCGCTGACCCTTCCTGATGGGCTGTGGGAACAGGAGCAGATGTGAGCAACAGGCTCTTGTGTTAACATAGCACAGTGACAGCACCTTCTACAACTGGGCTCTGTGCCAGGGCTGGGGCTCCTCAGTGCTACCACCAGGTGTGACTTGGGTGCAGGGAGCATGCAGCTCTTGGTATGCACACTGTACCCTGCATGCTGTGATGATCCTTCTGTTGATGACTCCTTGTCGTACGGATAAATAACTACCCTTAGGAAGACACATGGCCCTGCTCTCAGTCACACCTTCCCCTCCACCCAGGTAAAGCCTGGAGCTGGACCAATGCTGTAATTTCTCAGCTGTCATCATCCACCAAGAAGGCTGTGACCCCAATCCCAACAGTTCTGGAAAGGCCAAGAGCAGAGAAGGACCCCACCCTTTAGTTTCCATTACCTCATAGTCCGGGTTTGGCACAGGCGGGGGGCGCACCATCTTCTGGCCTGGAAGGCAAAGCAGGGAGAACATTCAGGTGGAAAACTACTGATTCTTAGTGCAGACACAGAGCTTCGCAGGCGTGACTCATCCCCGCGGCTCCGTGGGTGTTTCAGGAACAGGGCACAAAATGTCCACCGATTTTGGGGGCCCAATTGAGACACCTCAGCCCTGAGCACCTGGCCTTTGTCACACCCAGAACGCAGGACTGTCCTCCAAGACACAGGCCTCCAGCCCCTGAATCAAAGGACGCTTTGCCCGGGGTGCAAAATGCAGCGCTGCCAGCTCTTGGGTGTGCCGATGACTTGTAGTGTATGTCTTAGTGCCCCCACTGCGGGAATCAAGAGACTGCACAAGAATCTCAGCTTCCATTTTAAAACAAGGCAGTTTCTAGCCCTCCTGGTTGCAGAGAGAGGCCTAAAAATGTGACCCCACCAATGGGCGCAGAGACAACCCCCCACATTTCTCATTTAAATAAAATCTCGTGGTTTTTAAGACAACTCCCTGAGATTAGGGCCTGAGTCGTGGTGTGAATGCTTGAGGGTGCTGTGCCATGATACTGCCAGGGAGGCGGCTAGAGCAGGCCAGCCCTTCCAGCCTGCCCTACCCTCCCTTTGCCTCTCTCATGGCGGCTTCACCACACCCTGTGCAACGGGTCCTGTGGCTGGGGCACTTTCAGCACAAAATGGCAGCTGCACCATCCCCACATGAAGGGCAGCCTGTGATGTGGTGAGCAGCAGGAGGAGCCTGAGGTGGGCTTGACCCCAGCCCAGTTGAGGGTGCTCACGCGACTGATTCACAGGAGAGATTCGAACCAGCTCTTACCTCTTGGATGAACTCCGGCACTGCTACCGACTCGCCCCTTCCGGTTTTTGCTGAAGTAATAGACCAGGATCAGCACCCCGAGGGTGATGAGGAGATCTGCGATGATGACCCCGGCCACTGTCAAGACATCCAGCTCCTCACAGCTCTCGCAGACTGCGGTGGGAAGGGACAGATCAGGGGCTCAGCGAGAGGGAGAAGGGCAGAGCAGGGGGACCGCGGGAGGTGGGAGTCACAAGTCCCAGCCCAGAGACACTGCTGGGTAAATGCCCCATGTTTGGCCGGCCCAGACCTCACCCACTTGCTTTGCGTGGATGGAGACCACGTACGTCACAAGGGGAGCAAGAACAGTAAGCGGAGAAGTGAAGGGGAAGGGAGAGACCTTTCTGTTCCCCCCTACACACGCCTCACCCTGCCAACACCTCTGGGGTGGCTGGAGCGGTCAGTGACTGAAATGTCCCCTCGTTTTTCTGCATGGCCCCTGGCAGCAGGGTGCAAACATCCCCGGGTTGTAACAGCTCATTCCATGCTCCCCCCACCCCCAGCCCTTTCTGTCTGTGCCGGAAAGAGCGCAGGGATTCTCGGGTTCCCTGAGCAGCTCCTCAGACACCCGAGACAGCGCATGGGCTGCAAGGAGCTTTGTCAGAATGGAGGAGAATTGATTCAGTTTCCAAGGGGGCCTGGGGAAACCGAACTGTGCCCTCTCCAAGCCTCCAGACCTGGAGTCTCCTGCCAAGATCCTGAAGGTTCAGGATTCTCTGAAGCCCATGAAAGGTCACTGGTCTTGGGGAGAGATAACAGTTTCACATTTATACAGCCTCTCCCATCCCAAAGCAGCTCCCAAGCTAGGCGTGTAAAGCGCCTTTGAAATGCAGCCACCTCTGGGATGGAGGACACAGCAAGGGCAAAGCACACCACACAACAGTGCAGAGAGCGGTAACTTAGCCACACATCCCATGGCAAACACATACTCTTTTGAACAGTGCCCCATGGAATTGCAGTGTTCATGGGGGGCCGGCTGGACCTCAGAGCAGCTGAGTGTTGAAGTCAGTCCCAGCAGCGCCTCTGAAAATCAGGCCTCTGAGTACGTTATGGCATGTGAATCTTTCAGGCAATAAGGTCACAGAGTTAATCGCTAGCCTCTGTAGCGTCCCATGACATCTCATGTGCCTGCTTATTCGCATGGAAGAGGCGCTCTCTCCCATTTACCTTTGGCCTTCAGGTGAAGAAGTCTGGTGTCTTTGTCGGTGGCCTCACATGCATACTCCCCGTCGTGCTTGGAACTCACGTACTCCTCAATCTCATAGATATTATCTGTATCAGTTAGCTTCTGTCCCTCTTTTTTCCATATTACATGTTCTTGAAAGGGGCAAGTGAGAGTCACCTTGGTCTTAGAGATCACCACCGTGATTGCTGCAAAAGGGGAAGAAAGAACAACAGAAACACAGAGGTATTCAGTAAAACCAGTGCTTAAAATGGGCAGGACAAGGGGGTCCCAGACGCAGCAAAAATATAATTAACAATGGAGCTGTGTCACTGAGGGCTCACTTTGAGCACTGCCTTGTCTCTCGGACGGACTTTGGGAATGGGATCGTTGGGTTAAATGGAAAACCTCTCACCTAGTTATCAGTTCGGGGGAAGTAGTAATGCATAACACTCTCCGCATTCACAAGCAATGGCTTCATGAGCTAACTGATCACCATTATTATATAATCAGTGGACTCACAAAGTTGAACTGGGAATTGTCTCTCTTGCTCACGAACGCTGATTTTGTCTGGGATTGTGATAGATGCCCCAATCTTTTCTCAGACCACTTTAAGCACTGAATAAACCTTGCTGGAATCAGCTTCTGTACCAAATGACTGGAGGAGGAGAGCTCATGTAACACCAATTTTTAAAAAGGGCTCCAGAGGTGACCATGGCAATTACAGGCCTGTAAGCCTGACTTCAGAACCGAGAAAACTGGCTGAAACTACAGTAAAGAACAAAATTGTCAGACACATAGATAAACATAACCAAACTGTAGTATATAATCTTTATGGATAGTAATTCCATGCTCGAATAATAAGAATATAGCAGTAGGGATATATTACAGACCACCTGACCAGGATGGTAATAGTGACTGAAATGCTCAGGAAGATTAGAGAAGCTATTAAAATAAAAAACTAAATAATAATAGGGGATTTCAACTATCCCCATATTGACTGGGTACTGTGATACAGAAGAGCTAGAGAGCAGTGGTAGAGGGGAAATATATAAGCCGTAGGCTAATTAAGGTGTGCTTCCCTGTAGACTAGGGAGGGTTGCTACAGGTTAATTGGAGTACCTGTAGTCAATTAAGCCCTGTCAGGAACCTAATAAAACTCCCTGCTTCAGGTAGTCATGGGAGGAGGAGGAAGGAGAATAGAGGGGAGTGATCTGATAACATAACATAACATAACATAACATAACATAACATAACATAACATAACATAACATAACATAACATAAGAACTGAAGTAAGGCAGACCCTGCCCCAGTAGGGGAGGGAGACTTCATCTCCCAACATCTAAGGGCCAAAGGTTCCCACCCAAGGGGAAAGAGGGTAAGAACCCGCAGGGGCTGGGGCTCAGGCTCAGAGTGAGGAGCAAACCCAGATCCCTCCCCTGCTTCCCTCCTCTACCACCTTCCTGGGCCACTATCTGGGACCTCAGTGGCCCAAGGGCAAGGGGTGGTATCTTAGCCCCTCTGCCAAGAAAAGCGCAGGACCCACCATATTAACATTGGTGATCTTGCCACAGTACATATAATCTCAGAATGGATCAAGAGAAAGTTTCTTGACACCTTAAATGACGGCTTCTTGGAGCAGCTAGTCCTGGAACCCACAAGGGAAGAGGCAATTTTTGATTTAGTCCTAAGTGGAGCACAGGATCAGGTCCAAGAGGTGAATATAGCTGGACCACTTGGTGATAGTGACCACAATATAATTAAATTTAACATCCCTGTGGCTGGGGAAACACCACAGTGGCCCAACACCGTAGCATTTAATTTCAGAAAGGGGAGCTACACAAAAATGAGGAGATTAGTTAAAGAGAAATTACACAAACTAAAAACTACTTCCCCATGCTAATTTTTCACCTACTGTTACTCACACCTTCTTGTCAACAGTTTGAAATGGGCCACCCTGACTATCACTACAAAAGTTTTTTTTCTCCTGCTGATAATAGCCCTCCTTAATTGATTAGTCTCGTTCGAGTTGGTACGGCAACCCCCATTTTTTCATGTTCTCTGTGTGTGTGTGTGTATATATATAGATAGATAGATAGATAGATATCTATCTCCACACACATATATATATCTTCCTACTGTATTTTCCACTGTGTGCATCTGATGAAGTGGATTTTAGCCCATGAAAGCTTATGCCCAAATAAATTTGTTAGCCTCTAAGATGCCACAGGGACTCCTTGTTCTTTTTGCTGATACAGACTAACATGGCTACCACTCTGAAAGAAATTAAAAGGTACAGCACCAAAAGTACAATCCTTGCAAGCTGCATGGAAACTTTTTAAAAAGACACCATAAGAGAGGCTCAACTTAAATGTATACCCCAAATTAAAAAACATAGAGAACCAAAAAAGAGCCACTATGGCTAAACAACAAAGCAAAAGAAGCAGTGAGAGGCAGAAAGGCATCCTTTTAAAAAGTGGAAGTTAAATCCTAGTGAGGAAAATAGAAAGGAGCATAAACTCTGTCAAATGAAGTGTAAAAATATAATTAGGAAGGCCAAAAAAGAATTTAAAGAACAGGTAGCCAAAGACTCAAAAAGTAATAGCAAACAAAATTCTAAGTACATCAGAAGCAGGAAGCCTGCTAAACAACCTGTGGGGCCACTGGATGATCGAGATGCTAAAGGAGCACTCAGGGATGATAAGGTCATTGCAGAGAAACTAAATTAATTCTTTTAATTGGCCTTCACGGTTGAGGATGTGAAGAAGATTCCTAAACCTGAGCCATTCTTTTTAGGGGAAAAATCTGAGGAACTGTCCCAAATTGAGGTGTATTAGAGGAACAAATTGATTAACAGTAATAAGTCACCAGGACCAGATGGTATTCACCCAAGAGTTCTGAAGGAACTCAAAGGTGAAATTGCAGGACTACTAACTCTCATCTGTAGCCTATCATTTAAATCAGCTTCTGTACCAAATGACTGGAGGATAGCTAATATGATGCCGATTTTTAAAAAGGGCTCCAGAGGTGACCTTGGCAATTACAGGCTGGTAAGCTTAACTTCAGTACTGGGCAAACTGGTTGAAACTACACTAAAGAACAAAATTGTCAGACACATAGATGAACATAATTTGTTGGGCAATAGTCAACATGGCTTTTGTAAAGGGAAACCATGCCTCACTAATCTACTAGAATTGTTTGAGGGGGTCAACAAGCATGTGGACAAGTGGACCTCTCAGAACTGGGTGACTGGGCAACAAAATGGCTGATGAAATTCAAGGCTGATAAATGAAAAGTAATGAACACTGGAAAACATAATCCCAACTATATGCATAAAATGATGGGGTCTAAATTAGCTGTTACCACTCAAGAAAGAGATCTAGGAGTCATTGTGGATAGTTCTCTGAAAACATTCACTCAATGCACAGTGGCAGTCAAAAAAGCAAACAGAACATTGGGAATCATTAAGAAAGGGATAAATAAGACAGAAAATCTCATGTTGCCTCTATATAAATCCATGGTATGCCCACATCTTGAATACTGTGTGCAGATGTGGTCGCTGTATCTCAAAAAAAGATATATTGGAATTGTAAAAAGGTTCAGAAAAGGGCAACAAAAATGATTATGGATATGGAACAGCTTCTGTATGAAGAGAGATTAAAAAGACTGGGACTCTTCAGTTTCGAAAAAAGATGACTAAGGGAGGATATGATAGAGGTCTATAAAATCATGATTGGTGTGGAGAAAGTAAATAAGGAAGTGTGATTTACTCCTTCTCATAACACAAGAACTAAGGGTCACCAAATGAAACAAAGAGGCAGCAAGTTTAAAACAAACAACAGGAAGTATTTTTTTCACACAATGCACAGTCAACCTGTGGAACTCCTTGCCAGAGGATGTTATGAAGGCCAAGACTATAACAGGGTTCAAAAAGAGAGCTAGATAAGTTCATGGAGGATAGGTCCATCAATGGCTATTAGCCAGGATGGGAAGGAATAGTATCCTGAGCCTCTCTTTGCCAGAAGTTGGGAGTGGGCGACAGGGGATGGATCGCTTGATAAATGCCCTGTTCTGTTAATTCCCTTTGAAGCACCTGGCATTGGCCACTGTTGGAAGACAGGACGCTGGGCTAGATGGATCTCTGGTCTGACCCAGTATGGCCATTCTTATGTAAACCTTCTCAATCCCAGAAACCACCTTTTCCAGCTCACTGGCCAATCGGAATGTAGATTTCAGAAGCATGCACACTGCGTGGAATAGCTCTGATTAGTGAAAATGGACTGTGGGCGGGGCACAGGTAAATGGGGCTGGGGAGAGATTGTTTGCCCATGGACCGGAATTAGATGGAGAAAAATTAAAGTTGGAAAGAGAGTGAGTGCGACTGCTGCCCCAGGGGAAAAGTGCAAATGGAAAAAGGGGAAATAATTCACCCCATTGTCTACCCATCTGAGTCAGCTGTGACACTGTTCTTAGACTGTGAGCTAGTCAGGGCAGAGACTGGTGTCCTATGCGTATGTGCTGAGCACAGCCCAAGAGGGTTCTGCTCCTAAATACGACCTGGGTGCCACCCCAGTGCCACTATTATATAATATAATACTTAGCTCTTTCCTCTGTAGCTCTCAAAGTGCTTTACGCAGATCAGAATCAGTATCACCATGTTACAGGTGGGGAAATTCAGTAACTGTTGTTAATAATAAGACACCCCGACTGACTACAAAGGAGCCAGGTGGAACCCAGTATGCAGGTATAGTTTTCTGGATCTGTATTTTTAAAAAGAAGAAGTAAAGACATTCTCTATGATCCGACACACAGAGAGACAGACACGCAGGTAGGGGCTGGCTCAGGGCCCATTGGAATCAATGGAAAGATTCCCCTTGACTTCAGTGGGTTCTGGGTTAGGCCCAGACCACACTTGCATGCTCACACTCATACGGGCGCTTAGACAAATGGGCATATGCTTTTAGTGGTTAAAGACGCCCCATTCCTTAGATTCTCTCTGAGCGGTTAGAAATGGGAGGGTCAATATTAGCAGCAGCACTTTTGGGATGTTTATTATGGCTAAAAACATTGATGGTAAAATCAACTTACGGTTCTTCTGCGCCACGGTGTCAGCTGCAAAAGGAAAACAACAAACGCTATTAGCAAATCTGCCTCTCTCCTTGGTTCATCTCTTTAAAAATATCCTTTCCCTTATTAGTAACAATCTGCCTCTAAGAAGTAAACACAAAACACTAATCAATAATAATGCTGCTTTGAAAGCCAAACTCCTGGGTGCCATGCAGACATTGGAAAACAGTCCCAACAGCATTCATGTTTTAAATCCATGTTATCAAACTTCCCAATCCTAGAAACACAGACAAAGATGGGATGGGGATGAAGGCAGGAAATAGTGTTGGAGGCTAAAAAACCCTTCAAAACCCAAGGAGCTACTTAGAAGACTGGGCACTTGCTCTAATCCCCTCACCCCTGCTTCCAGGTCTGTAATTCCTTCTGTCCTTTGCTGCCCCGCCAGTCTTTGATTTTGTAACAAAAACGGAAACTTTCTCTCTTTGGTTCCTACACTGTTCCCTTTGTACCACAAATCACAGTGTCAGAACACCAGTGTGGCACCGTTTATTTTAGCTGGCCATACACCAGTGATCAATCCTGTTTCTCCATGTGCCTCTCTGGTCTCTGCAGGCGCATGATCCTGCTTGGATGGCACTAAAAATGATTACTTAACCATTAATTTTAGCTGATTTTTCAAGTCAGTGTAAACAGCACCAATGAACTGATAGGGGATATTTCCGGTCCTATAACAGTCACCAAACTGAAATGCGTCTCCTTGCAGTTTAGCCCTCCCTTGGGAGAGGTTTTGAATTGCACCACGCTTGTGGGATGCTTTAGAAATGCGGAGGTGGCTAAAGCAGATTAGTGAGGCAATGTTATTTTAAACCAAAGCTGCGTCCCCCCGGCTGCCCTTTTCAAAGTGGAAAACGGAAATGAGGTGCCTGGTTGCTGTGAAAAGAAACGATGTGATTAATTGCAAGGTGTACATGCAATGACACAGTGACGGTGCAGCACGGAGACAGAGGCTCCTGGGGGTCTGGGCCACGAGCCTGCAATGAGAACTGCAGGGCTCTGCGTGGTTGCATGGGTTTGCCTGCTGCAGGATCAGGGCCTTAGGTTAGAAATGGTTTTGTTTAACTCTGTAGAGCAATTTGTGAGTGTGAGGAACTCCACTGAAATCCTGAAGCTACAGCCACGTTAAAACAGTGCTAGGGAGCGGGTCAGAATCAGACCCACAGTGTGTACCAGAGACACTAGACAAAAGAAAGGTGCATAAGCCAATAAAAGAAAGATCCGTGTTCCCATCTGTGATTACCCTGTCCTCGTGTATGGTTTTAGCCAGCACTTGCTTTACAGAGGCTGGGAGCTCACTCTCACTAAAGCTACAGAGATGAAATCCCACAGACAAAACCATTGATTAGAGGCGAAGGTGATCGGCTGCTTTATCCCCACACAGAACGTTGTTTTAGAGAAGGGGAATAAATACAGGGGCAGTAACACAAACCGATTGCGACCCTGCTCCTAAATACGGCCTGGGTGCCACCCAAATGCCACTATTATATAATATAATACCTTGCTTTTTCCTCTGTAGCTCTCAAAGTGCTTTACGCAGATCAGAATCAGTATCCCCATGTTACAGGTGGGGAAACTCAGTAACTATTGTTAATAATAAGACACCCCGACTGACTGCAAAGGAGCCAGGTGGAACCCAGTATGCAGGTATAGTTTTCTGGATCTGTATTTTTAAAAAGAAGAAGTAAAGACATTCTCTATGATCCGACACACAGAGAGACAGACACGCAGGTAGGGGCTGGCTCAGGGCCCATTGGAATCAATGGAAAGATTCCCCTTGACTTCAGTGGGTTCTGGGTTAGGCCCAGACCACACTTGCATGCTCACACTCATACGGGCGCTTAGATAAATGGGCATATGCTTTTAGTGGTTAAAGACGCCCCATTCCTTAGATTCTCTCTGAGCGGTTAGAAATGGGAGGGTCAATATTAGCAGCAGCACTTTTGAGATGTTTATTATGGCTAAAAACATTGATGGTAAAATCAACTTACGGTTCTCCTGCGCCACGGTGTCAGCTGCAAAAGGAAAACAACAAACGCTATTAGCAAATCTGCCTCTCTCCTTGGTTCATCTCTTTAAAAATATCCTTTCCCTTATTAGTAACAATCTGCCTCTAAGAAGTAAACACAAAACACTAATCAATAATAATGCTGCTTTGAAAGCCAAACTCCTGGGTGCCATGCAGACATTGGAAAACAGTCCCAACAGCATTCATGTTTTAAATCCATGTTATCAAACTTCCCAATCCTAGAAACACAGACAAAGATGGGATGGGGATGAAGGCAGGAAATAGTGTTGGAGGCTAAGAAACCCTTCAAAACCCAAGGAGCTACTTAGAAGACTGGGCACTTGCTCTAATCCCCTCACCCCTGCTTCCAGGTCTGTAATTCCTTCTGTCCTTTGCTGCCCCGCCAGTCTTTGATTTTGTAACAAAAACGGAAACTTTCTCTCTTTGGTTCCTACACTGTTCCCTTTGTACCACAAATCACAGTGTCAGAACACCAGTGTGGCACCGTTTATTTTAGCTGGCCATACACCAGTGATCAATCCTGTTTCTCCATGTGCCTCTCTGGTCTCTGCAGGCGCACGATCCTGCTTGGATGGCACTAAAAATGATTACTTAACCATTAATTTTAGCTGATTTTTCAAGTCAGTGTAAACAGCACCAATGAACTGATAGGGGATATTTCCGGTCCTATAACAGTCACCAAACTGAAATGCGTCTCCTTGCAGTTTAGCCCTCCCTTGGGAGAGGTTTTGAATTGCACCACGCTTGTGGGATGCTTTAGAAATGCGGAGGTGGCTAAAGCAGATTAGTGAGGCAATGTTATTTTAAACCAAAGCTGCGTCCCCCCGGCTGCCCTTTTCAAAGTGGAAAACGGAAATGAGGTGCCTGGTTGCTGTGAAAAGAAACGATGTGATTAATTGCAAGGTGTACATGCAATGACACAGTGACGGTGCAGCACGGAGACAGAGGCTCCTGGGGGTCTGGGCCACGAGCCTGCAATGAGAACTGCAGGGCTCTGCGTGGTTGCATGGGTTTGCCTGCTGCAGGATCAGGGCCTTAGGTTAGAAATGGTTTTGTTTAACTCTGTAGAGCAATTTGTGAGTGTGAGGAACTCCACTGAAATCCTGAAGCTACAGCCACGTTAAAACAGTGCTAGGGAGCGGGTCAGAATCAGACCCACAGTGTGTACCAGAGACACTAGACAAAAGAAAGGTGCATAAGCCAATAAAAGAAAGATCCGTGTTCCCATCTGTGATTACCCTGTCCTCGTGTATGGTTTTAGCCAGCACTTGCTTTACAGAGGCTGGGAGCTCACTCTCACTAAAGCTACAGAGATGAAATCCCACAGACAAAACCATTGATTAGAGGCGAAGGTGATCGGCTGCTTTATCCCCACACAGAACGTTGTTTTAGAGAAGGGGAATAAATACAGGGGCAGTAACACAAACCGATTGCGACCCTGCTCCTAAATACGGCCTGGGTGCCACCCAAATGCCACTATTATATAATATAATACCTTGCTTTTTCCTCTGTAGCTCTCAAAGTGCTTTACGCAGATCAGAATCAGTATCCCCATGTTACAGGTGGGGAAACTCAGTAACTATTGTTAATAATAAGACACCCCGACTGACTGCAAAGGAGCCAGGTGGAACCCAGTATGCAGGTATAGTTTTCTGGATCTGTATTTTTAAAAAGAAGAAGTAAAGACATTCTCTATGATCCGACACACAGAGAGACAGACACGCAGGTAGGGGCTGGCTCAGGGCCCATTGGAATCAATGGAAAGATTCCCCTTGACTTCAGTGGGTTCTGGGTTAGGCCCAGACCACACTTGCATGCTCACACTCATACGGGCGCTTAGATAAATGGGCATATGCTTTTAGTGGTTAAAGACGCCCCATTCCTTAGATTCTCTCTGAGCGGTTAGAAATGGGAGGGTCAATATTAGCAGCAGCACTTTTGAGATGTTTATTATGGCTAAAAACATTGATGGTAAAATCAACTTACGGTTCTCCTGCGCCACGGTGTCAGCTGCAAAAGGAAAACAACAAACGCTATTAGCAAATCTGCCTCTCTCCTTGGTTCATCTCTTTAAAAATATCCTTTCCCTTATTAGTAACAATCTGCCTCTAAGAAGTAAACACAAAACACTAATCAATAATAATGCTGCTTTGAAAGCCAAACTCCTGGGTGCCATGCAGACATTGGAAAACAGTCCCAACAGCATTCATGTTTTAAATCCATGTTATCAAACTTCCCAATCCTAGAAACACAGACAAAGATGGGATGGGGATGAAGGCAGGAAATAGTGTTGGAGGCTAAAAAACCCTTCAAAACCCAAGGAGCTACTTAGAAGACTGGGCACTTGCTCTAATCCCCCCACCCCTGCTTCCAGGTCTGTAATTCCTTCTGTCCTTTGCTGCCCCCCAGTCTTTGATTTTGTAACAAAAATAGAAACTTTCTCTCTTTCCCCTAATGTCAGTTGGTTCCTACACTGTTCCCTTTGTACTACAAATCAGTGTCAGAACACCAGTGTGGCACCGTTAATTTTAGCTGGCCATACACCAGTGATCAATCCTGTTTCTCCATGTGCCTCTCTGGTCTCTGCAGGCGCACGATCCTGCTTGGATGGCACTAAAAATGGTTACTTGACAATTAATTTTAGCTGATTTTTCAAGTCAGTGTAAACAGCACCAATGAATTCATAGGGGATATTTCCAGTCCTGTAACAGACCCCAGGGTGATCGGCTGCTTTATCCCCACACAGAACTTTGTTTTAGACAGACGGAATAAATACAGGTGCAGTAACACAAACTGATCATGGCCAAAGAGAACCCAAACTCTTTCAGTTCACATCAAAGCCAGCAACTGGCGTTTGCCGCTCACGGGCAGAGTGGCTCCAGAGTTTATTTTTAAATTTCTTTTGCCCATTTCCCAATGAGCATATTGATCTAGTGATAATACTTACACATGCTTTGTCTTTCATCTGGTTACCTCTACACACACTAATCGGTTAACCCTGACAATATTCAGGGGATACTATTATCCCTGCTTTACCCATTGTGAAGCTGAGATCTAGAGAGTGAAGCGACGGGCCCAAGAGCACACGGCGATTTAATATAACAGCAAGCAGTAGGACAGGGGAGTCCAGATTCCAGAGCACCCTGCTGCCCAAAGCACTGCCCTTCCCGTACCCTTCACCAGCCTGTTCAGACCATTGGTGAGGGCTTGGGAGTTTATTGAATTTGCTGATAAATAACGAGGATCTTCTCAGCAACTGACTTCTCTTTTAAAAAAGAATATAGAATGAAGTGCCTCAATTCCCTCTCTCTCGACTGCTCTGATTCTGCAGGGTGTGATTCCTTGCTCCATTGCCCATCATGTCACTGCTAGTGGGGGTACATTTCTCATCAGCAAATGGCAACTTCAGTTTTACTGTGAGTCTTTGTGGCTGTGTAAGAACACCTAGTTGCTGGTGCTCCGCGATGTCCATCGGCACGCCAATACCCTCCTTGCCTGAGCCCTTGGGGGTCACTTTTCTGATACCTGGTGGTCTCTAGACATCTGTACTCACCCACACAGAGCAGGAGCCCCAAAACAGGCAGAGCAAGCTCTAGCTTCATCCTGGCGTTCCCCGCACTCCCTCTCTTTTCTGTCCTTTCCAATCAGATTGGCATCACCCAGTCTGGCTCTGCAAAAAGTAAGAACACAGGAGCTTTCAAGTTTCTGTTTATGAGAAAGAGGCCTGGGATTGTTTCCCAGAATTGGATCTAACAATCAGTTCAGCGGCGCACGGAGGAGACTCACTGTTTCCAGCATAACATGCAAGCAGCTCAGAGAGACAGCAGATGTCTATGATAAAAAAAAAAAACCTGCCAGGAAGTGCGGAGGCTCGAGATGCCTACATTTCCGAGTGTCACTGAGAACACGAGGGGGCTGCTGGTGCTGCAAGCACCTCGGTGACTCTCAGGCCAGCCCAGAGAGTGTTCTGGAGAAAAGAGCACACACAACCTGGCCCCAACAGATTTGCTTTCAGACTCTCCCACCATTTTTAAACAATATTTTCTGAGTTAAGTTCAAAATGTTACAGTTAATTTAGCAAAGTGACTGCAACGAACATAACCACTAGACAGGCTGCAAGAAATGCAACAGCCAGCGGCAGACAAACACACCTTGTGCAACGAGCATAAAATAGCCTGTAAGCTCTTCAGGGCAGGGGCTGCCTCTGCCTAAGCTATGGGTTTGTACAGTGCCTAGCACTTTGATTCCTGCCCCTTGGTGCTATTGCAAAAAAACCACACCAACAATGGTGACAATAATACAAAGAAACAGGTGTTCAAGTGCTGTGGTGACAAGTGGGGTACGGAACCGCAGAGAGAAACCTCAGTAAAGGGGAGCTGAATAACACGCCTGGAACCAAGAAACAGATCAGAACAAAATTAAATGGAGTAACTCACTAATTCTGAGGCTTTGGTGCTGGATTTACTCTGCTCGAGGCCCCTCTGCCAGCCTGCGTGCCAGCTGTGACGGTGTTTTTGTGGTAGGGAAGCCACTAGGGACTGGATTGCACCTACCAATTTTATTTCTCACCAGACACCAAGGAGCCATGTGGTGGTGTTCAGTCACTGCAGGCCTGGTTTGGAACCATCTTTGTCTCACGGCCTGTGTCAGCTTCTCACCCGGAAATCTCTGGGCTTCCTGCCACGCTGTCCCTATAGAACATATATAGTTCTGTGGGTAGAACGTTCTCCCTGTCTGTGCTGGAGAGGCCACTTACCCTCCACGCTATTTGCTGCTAGAGCTGGAGGAATTACCTGAGACTACCGTAACCATATATACGCCTTCCCAAGGCCTGTCTATTGGCCGGTCTGTCTTTAGACAGACACGCTCCTTGGAGCAAGGTTTCCGCCTCTAAAGAACCCCGTGTATGGTGGCCTGTGCCAGAAGTAAATAAATAGTTAGTTATAATGCTGAGCTGTGATGTGGTGGGGCAGGGCTCTGTATCCATTTCCCCAGCTCCTGGCCTGCCGGCTGATTACAGAATGAGAAGATGTACCTTGTTCGTCACACCGGAAAGTTCAGCATGAGCTGGGGATAGCGGCTCTTCTCCCTCTACGGGTGGAGTTCGTGACTAACAGAGCGGCAGCTCCTGGCTGGAAGCAGAAAAGCAACAAACTTGGGCCCTGGTCATGCATGGGGTGTAGATAAGTTTTGTATTTTGAGGCTAGAGTTAAAAAATAATATACTAATAGCTCTTGAATAGCGCTCCAATGAGCAGTTTTGTACCAGATTAAATTTGTTCATTTTTAACAAAGTGAGATAAAGAAACTTCTGTTCCAAACACAGTGTTTCCTTTATTTACTAATGCAACCCCGAAATTGATTTTGGTTTTTAGCTCCCTCAATTCCCTGTTGTCTATGCATATGATTCAGCTGGATCTCCTAGTGACAGCCCTGTGGTGCCTGAGGCAGGGCAGGGGAAGGGGATAAACATCGAATCTAGGGTTGCCAACCATCCAGGATTGTCTGGGAGTCTCCAGGAATTAAAGATTAATCTTTGATTAAAGATCATGTCAGGTGATGAAACCTCCAGGAATACATCCAACCAAACTTGGCAACCCAAATCAGATCAGACCCTCAGTGACTCCTCACTCCAGCTGCCAATAACCCTGTCCATGGAAGCAGGGACCGCCCCCGCTTCCAAAAGAAGTGAGACTGGAGAACACCGTTGAGCCAGCTACAAGTGAAATGTCCTGGCTGATGCTTTAAATGAAGCTTCCCCAAAGTGCATCCATATATCTGGTGCTGATAAAATGATCATTGATGAACGAGCACACAGAGGGGGAGGAGAACGCTGCATCCAGTAGACATTGTCCCTAGTGCAGGATTCAGGGGCTCAGCCTCAGGAAAGAATTCCAGTGGGTTATTTAACATGCATCAGTTATTTTTCTAACTGTAAAGAGAAAAGGAGTACTAGTGGCACCTTAGAGACTAACCAATTTATTTGAGCATAAGCTTTCGTGAGCTACAGCTCACTTCATCGGATGCATTCAGTGGAAAATACAGTGAGGAGATTTATATACACACAGAACATGAAAAAATGGGTGTTATCATACACACTGTAAGGAGAGTGATCACTTAAGATGAGCTATTACCAGCAGAAAAGGGGGGGAGAAAACCTTTTGTAGTGATAATCAAGGTGGGCCATTTCCAGGAGTTAACAGGAACGTCCGAGGAGCAGTGGGGGAGTGGGGGTGGGAAAAATAAACATGGGTAAATAGTTTTACTTTGTGTAATGACACATCCACTCCCAGTCTCTATTCAAGCCTAAGTTAATTGTATCCATATGCGACAGCTCTGACTTTGGTCCCTGTGACAGTCTAGGACTCAGGAGTGTCAAGGCTGGAACTGCCAATCTACTCCAAACAGGAAATTGTTTGACTGTTTTGTTCATTGTCTCACTTTCACTCAAGTAGCCCAGTGTGGGATTTCAAAGCAAGCCTATACTGTATTTTCATTTGGTATTTATACTTCTGTTGCAAACCTGAATTTATATTTGCCCATTTCCAGTAACATTCATTTTTCATGTATACAGGGCCAAACAGCACCCAGCGCCAGAAAGGGGGTGTTGGGATAAACCCCTTCTCCTGTAAAAGCTGCCAAGGGCAGCTGGGACCTTAATTTGTAAAATCATGTCCAAAAGACCCCCACACATTAAAGAGCCTGGAAGCTAGTTTATGGTCTGCCTGGGAGGGATAGAGCCAAGCAAACAAAGCCAGCATTGAAAGCTGTGGTTTTGGGGAAGTTGAGATGTCAATGTGCAGGTGGGTGGATGGCTTGAATTGTCTTTTGAAAAAAATCCCTATAGGTGGAAGCTGCATTTAAACAGATATACTGGGTTTTATCATCCATGTAAGAGCCACACAATTCCACCAGGGGGAGGGCGCCTACCTCTTCAACATCCTCTCTTCTCCTCTGTAGCATGCTAGGGCCCAGGGAACTCACTTTCTTTCCAAATTTGGACATCGCACGGGAGCAGAGTTCTCCTCCTCCAAGGGTTGGGAAGAGGCCAATCCTCAGGGTATGCAACACTACAACAGCAGTGTAGACGCTTCCTACAGCGAAGGAGGGGGTTTCTCCGTCACTCTGGTAAATCCACTGTAGGTAGATCGACTGAAGAATTCTTTCTTTGGCTGAGCTGTGACTATAGTGGCGGGTAGGTTGAAATTGTTCACAGCTCTGAGTGATGTGGCTAGGTTGGCCTAAGTTGTAGGTGAAGCCCAGGCCTTCGACGCTGACCTTGTCACCCTGACATTTCCCCTCCTTGCTAACACTGGTGCAGCTACACCTTTGGGGGTGTTACTGGGGGCAAGGTGCCAACATCTTAAGCTGTCGCCGGGACCTGCCCCAAACAGAGTTACATGGTACGGGGCTTCAAACATTAGCGCGCTCTCTGGCTCCCCCTGGTGGCGCTGCATGGGTGCTGTGAGTGTTCAAGGAGATTGTAAGGAAAAGGCGAGTGTAGACGCACCTCTAATGGTGACAGAAGCCAGACCTGGGGATGTATCAGTTCATAATCTCCTCTCACAGCCCGTTCCTGTATCTGGTTTTGCTCCTCCTCCCAGCAGACATGCCCAGCCTCCAGCCCCAGCTGGCTGGGGGAATCCAGCTCAGGTTATTCTTTTTTCCTGGAAATTCATTATTTAAAGGCTTCAGGTAACTATGACTATATTGGGCTTGCATTACATGTAATGAGATGCTATTTGTAGCTAGTGGAAATTTTATTTATGCCATCTTCTTTCAAAAGAGCACTCAGGGCTTCTCTTTAACCAGCGGTGCCTGGGGCGTGATCCTGCTCAGACATGCCGAGCCAGCAAAGGAGACATTGTAGATTAAGAATGGACTCTTCCCATAAGCCTCCAGCCAGACCCAGCCGCCCCCATTGGCCCAGGATGGCTGTCCATGATATTAACACTGTGAATTGCCTTTATTGTGAGTACAGACAGGTAAGCTAAACTCCTGGCTTTCAGCTCCACAGGACACTGTGCAGGCTGCTGGAGGTTAATAAAAGTATTGCAAGCGTCATGGAGTTTAGGGCCAGAGGGACCACCAGATCATCTAGTCTGACCTCCTGTACATCACAGGCCACCAGCACCATCCAGCACCTGCACGCTGAACCCAACAACGGAAATGAGACCAAGGCATTACAGCCCCCAGGAAACTAGACTATTACATGCCACAGGCAGAGAACAGGAGGGACTGAAGTGCACCAGTGCCCAAGGTCTCTGCAATGGCAGGGAAGTGGGATACACACAGATAATCCTGGCAAGTGACCCGCATCCACGCTCTGCAGAGGAAGGTGAAATCTCCCCAAGGTGCTTGCCAATCTGACCCAGGGGGAAATTCCTTCCTGACCCCTGCTATGGGGATCAGTTAGACCCTGAGCATGTGAGCAGGAACCAGCCAGCTGAGTGCCTGACAGAGGATGCTCAATGCCACCTCAGAGTCGGGGCCCTCCCTGTTCTATATCCTATCTCCAGCCATGGCCATCCCTGATGCTTCAGAGGAAGGAGATAAATCAAACAACAATATCCAGAATATAGTGTGGGTGGGGAGAAATCCTTTCCTGACCCTTGCAGGTGGCCAGCTAAAGCCCTGAAGCATGAGCTTTTAGGCACATGAGGCATAAACTGGAAGTGAGCCACAGGACTGCTGAGCCCCACCTCTACCATCACAAGCAAACCTGTCATACAATCACACTCATAAATTTGT